TATCATAAGAATGGAGTGAAATAACCCACCCAAAGCGCTCAGCACAAGGCCTGGTGCATTGCGGGCCAGTGCAAGGGCGATAGATGTCTGCTGCCCTCTGGGGGCGACGGTCAGTTTTCCACTGAAATGGAAGTCTAAGGAAAGGGCCACATTTGACCTCCACATAGGATTGCACACGCGGTGGTTTCCATTTTGGTGTTTTTGGTGTAGCTATATGTACGATCTCAAAAGATTCCTGGGCTGTGCTAAGAGTGGGAAATGTCCCGACTCCCCCGGGAAGGCTCGTGGCTGGGGAAGCGGCTTTCACCCTAGAGACTATCGCCACCTAGTGGCCACATTTCATGCTTGCAGGTAAAGGCCAAAACAAAAAGTGAGAGACTCCATCCACCCTTCCTGTTACCAATGACGCGATCCTGCAGCCCTCCTGTTCATCCAGGGAAGTTCCTTCCTCCGTGTCCCCTGGCAGGTTCCTAGCACCGTATGACCCTCCACTGATGAGTTCTGGAATATATCTGGCTTCTTCTAAACATCTTTTCACTTGAATCTCTCTCTCTCTTGCCCAGAATACCATAATTATATGGGTCCTACGCTAAGGGGAAAAATGAAAAGCATGCTAAGAGAGTGCAGGACCTGCACAGGATGGCCCTATTTAACAGGCAGGTGTGGACACAGTGCCTGACTTTGCAGCAGGTTTGTCCCCACATTCCCGATGCTAAGAGCTCCCCCAATCCCAGTGAAAACCATCCCAACAACCCTTGTTTTCACTGTTCTTATATCCCCAGCATTTGACACATAGTTGGCACTCAATAAGTATTTGCTGACTGAAGCCAGGGCTTTCCAGGAAGTATACTCTGAGCACATCTGTACCAACCATTTCTATTCATTCCCCACAGCAACTCCAGAAGTCAGAAATCCAATCTAGAATGGATAAAGAAGTGGTATATATATATATACAATGGAATATTATCAGCCATCAAAAGGAATGAGATCTTGCCATTTGCAACGACGTGGATGGAACTGGAGGGTGTTATGCTGAGCAAAATAAGTCAATCAGAGAAAGACATGTGTCATATCACCTCACTGATGTGAGGAATTCTTAATCGCAGGAAACAAACTGAGGGTTGCTGGAGTGGGGGGTGGGGTGGGAGGGAGGGGGTGACTGGGTGATAGACACTGGGGAGGGTATGTGCTCTGGTAAGCGCTGTGAATTGTGCAAGACTGTTGAATCTCAGATCTGTACCTCTGAAACAAATAATACATTATATGTTAAAAAAAGAAGAAGAGAAAGATAGCAGGAGGGGAAGAATGAAGGGGGGAAATCGGAGGGGGAGATGAACCATGAGAGACTATGGACTCTGAGAAACAAACTGAGGGTTCTAGAGGGGAGGGGTGGCGGGGATGGGTTAGCCTGGTGATGGGTATTAAAGAGGGCACGTACTGAAAGGAGCACTGGGTGTTATATGCAAACAATGAATCATGGAACGCTACATCAAAAACTAATGATGTGATGTATGGTGATTAACACACATAATTAAAAAAAAAAAAGAAATCCAATCTAGAATAAGCAAATGGTCAAAGGTTCTGCTGAAAAAGTGGCGGGCCCCAAGTCCGAGGTCCCTGTCTGATCCCAGAGGTTTGTCAGAGAGACACTGACACTCACAGTGAAAATACTATATGTCCAGGGCCATGGTCCGCAACACAGGCTCTCTGGTGTCGCAAATGTGGTCTTCCCAGCATCCCCTCCTCCCTCTCCCCCTGCCACGGCCCCTGGCAACAGGAGGGGGCACAAGTCCTAGGCGGAGTGGTTTTGCTATCTGGGACTAATCACGAACATCCGAAGAGACGGTCACGATCCTGAGCCCCTGATTGCTATCTGCTGTGACTGGTTCAGAAGAACCATTCAGGCGAATGATGGCTCTGTTTCTGGGGCTTTTGCTCCATACCTCGAGGTTATCCTGTTTTCTGATCTCCACCAATTATTCAATATTCAGGGATTTGTGAACCAGTTGTTAAACCATTGGCATCTTGCAATCAGCCATTGTAGGAATATTTATACCACAGAAACCAGCAAACGCTTGTAAAGACAAACAGAATGACCATGGCTTCATCTCCCAGAAATAACCCTGTGACATTTTTGGTTTTTGTCCATTTCCCTTCCTCAGTGAGCAGCCATTAGAGGCTAGAACATGCCTCCCTTGTAGCTTTCACATTCCTCAGTTTCCCCAAGAGTTTGAACAGGTGGGCCTGCTGTCAGCCGGAGGGTTGGAGGGAGGAGAGCTGAGACTCTCAGATGGGTAGCAAAGTCCCTTTGCAAAGCCCCCCCCTCAGCCATCAACACTGCCCTCTGTCTCCTGGGACCCGTGAGATGGGCCGGTTCAGCCCCTCAAGGCCTTTTACTCATTTCGAGGCTGCCCCCGAAAACTTTCTGAATAGAGTCAGGCCATGAGGCAAACACATTTCTCCACTAGACTAGCGATTCTCAACCTTGGTTGCACATTAGAAACACCTGGAGAGCTGCTAAGCTATGCCCATGTTCATAGCCATGTCTGAGCCCAATGAAGACAAAATACATCAGAATATCTGGCGGTGAGGCCCAAGTGCCAGTATCTTAAAAGCAAACACCTGGGGATCCTACGTACGGTGCAGCCACATTAAGAGCCCCAGCGCTGGGCAGGGATGCTCAAGGCTTGTTGCAGGTGAGTCTCCTGGGATGCTTTTTAATCGCCAGCCCAGACCAATTGAACCCAAACTTTATAGCTCTCCTAGTGATTCAGATGGAGTCAGAATTGAGAAGCGCGGTGTTAGACCAAATAAGAATTACCTCTTATTTTGTATCTCATCTCAAATTATGCAACCACATTAATACAAAAAAGACTTACGGGGTCTTGATGTTGCTATCATCCCACACAATAAAAGCTTCTTCCAAAGGTCAAACGAATCCCTGGATCTTACCCTGAAATCAGAGTCTGAACGTATATAGATACTACGCTCTCTTCACATTTTCTTCTTAATTCGCCCAGCCCCTTCGAGGGGGGCCTCTCTGGAGACTCTGAATGGAATCGAAGCTCTGGTTCACCAAGACCCACAAAGCATTGAGCTGGTGTGCTGGGCAAAGGCACGAAACCCCACCCCCCCAAATACTCAAAACAACCCAGGACCACATGTGACTGTATCTGCAGCTTATAAATCATGCATCCATTCCACAGTTTCCAAATGTTAAGTGGTATGCCCAGACCCTATTCATCACTTACTCCAGGTCGGTGATTCTCAAACTGAGGTTCCCGGACCAACAGCAGCATCTCCAGGAGACGAGTTAGAAAATTCTTAGGCTGCATACCCTAGACCTACTGAATCAGAAGCCCTGGGTATGAGGCCCCAATCCGTGTTTAATGAGCCTTCCAGGTGACAGAGATGCTTGCTCAAGCAGGAGAAGCTGCGCTCCCCAGAGGCACGTCGATCCTATGAGCTGAAGACCACTGCAGAGACAGAATGCGGTCTAAATGGGTGCGCGGAAAACAGCCAAACAAGGGAGAGAGAGATTTGTGATTTGATTTTTCTGGGGTACCTGCACATCCATCCCAGGTATTCAGAGCCTACCACCTGTGAACTGAGAACAAAGCAGCCAGATAATTCTCCCATCAGGGTTAACGGACACTGAGAATACTATATCATGGCAGAATTTTTAAAAAAAAATCTTTATTATGCAAACATTCTTCTTTCTCTGAAAAAAAAAAAACATCTGAATGCTTGGGCAACATCTTGAAATTGCTAGTGTGCCATCTCCAGGGATTTTTGGAGGCCCTGTTCTTTGCCTTTGTGTCTTCTTGTACCTTTAAAACCCTTTAAAGTCTCCCTTTGAATTCCCCATTTGTTCTCTGTGTTCCCAGCAGCCCAATTTTGAACTTTGTGTGGGTTCTGTGTAGGGAGGGACATAATCACCACACTCTTGTGGCTCAGGCATCCCATAATGAAAATGAGCAATGCTTCGACGTCACTTCATGGCCTCATGTGTCCCCCAGTGATTGTCTGACACTGATAAGTACAAGGGAGATGAACCTGGCGTAGTAGGGACGGGAGGTCTCGGCTACAGAGCAAAAAGCCTGCATCCCTGCCATCTACCCATTAGTGGTTTTAATGCCTCACACTGGTTTTGCTAAGAGCCTCCTCAGTGAGAATCCCTGAAGATACCTTCTACCTGGACTATCCCAGACTCTGTGTCCCATTCTGAGTGCCTCTCCTGTGTACCTTGACACCCTAGCTTTGCCCAGCACCCCCAGACATTAGTAGTGATGGATGCAAAGACCAGGACACAGGCTCCAGAGCTGATCACAACTCCGTTGTCTCCAGAAGATTGGAAGAAGTCACATACAGCAGGAGAGATGGAGGAAGAGACCCCAAGGAGAGGGGTGGGGTGGGGCGGGGGTGGGGAGGAGCAGGAGACCGAAGGTCTGGGGCACAAGTACTTGCGAGGGGCCACTCGGGGAACAGCTGGCTGTGAGGGAGGGGATAGGAGGGCAGGAAGAAACTTGGGGAGGAACCTGCGATCTTCATATGCCCTTCAAAGTCTGAAAGTCTCCATTCTTCAGAGGGGAGCCAAATACAGGTGCTGGGAATATAATAATAAAAACTAGAACCAAGAGCCACATGCGAAGCTTGGGTTTTACCGTTTGTCCTGCTGTTTGCCCAGCCATCCCCTTGACTTTGGCGGTCTACCTACCTCATCCAGAGGCACCCATATCATTTCTGGGGTCCCATCAGAGGTTTGCAGGCTCTAGCTGAGGCAGCTGGAGACAGCATCACAGAAAGAGGCACTGGGACAGCCTGTCACAGTGGTGCCCCACCAGCTGGTATTGCTTTTTCGGTTCCAGATGTGCAAGACGCAGGTACTGCCACACAGAGGTCAAGACCAAGGGCGCCGGCGTGTCGTCGCGTGGCAGATCCGGCTTCCACCCCCAGTCAAACAAGCAGCCATCATTTATAAAAACACAGCACACACTGGGTTTTAATGAGAAAATAATTGTATACTTGCATTGAATGCCTCACAATCACTATAAAACCGAAGCAGGATAATAACATTTAAGTGGTTAACATACACAGGAGAGCCAGATACAGAGTATAATTTTCAAACACAGTATTGCTGCTTTCCCCCCTCCTCCTCCTCCAAAAAAAAAAAAAAAAAAAAAAAGTCCTTTGGGTAAAGGGCAACACAAAATCAAAATTGGCAGCTCACTCACTGAATGCTTAAAATTCAGGAAATTGGTTCTGTCACTAAAACTGGATATATTCACCATCTCTAAACACTTAGGCTATTTTTTTTTTCAATACATAGTTTAATTACATCCATTATTTAGTTGGAAAAATGTTTGTCTTCAGAGACAAGAGTCAACACTGTTTTAGTGTTTCTTGTGACGCTTTATATGTGTTGTGTTGTGTGTATATGTGGACACTGATCTATATACTGCTTATATGTCATTGTCTAGGGTGGGCAGCATGCAGAAGTGTAAAGAGGCAAGGAAATCGCATTGTGTCATCCGAGTAGAACACAGCTCAGCCTCCTACCACTGACAGACCCTGTTTCCATAATTTCTGGATGAGAAAGCCAAGGCATGTCAGTAATCAGCTCCGGAGGAATGGGAGCATGTATAAACACTGTGGAAAGGAACGCTTTCAGGAAAGCTTTGAACATCTACAGCATCTAAACATTTGTTATAGTTGAGATTAACAAGCTTTCGTGCCATTTGGGGGCAGGGACGAGCATCAGAGGCCCATTTTTCCGACAAGCCTCTTCCTCTTGATGGATTAGGCAGGAAGGACCCTCCTCCTGGGGTCTATTGCATTTTCAGAAGATTAAAGGGGTTCATTTGGGATCCCAGAGCCTAGCACGGTGCTATGTACAAAGCCCAATGTTTTCGGAAGGAATAAAAAACTCAAGAGCGCAGAGAAAATCGGGCTCTTGCAAGGGAACTGTTAATTTACATTTGAATAGGATCGGAAGTGAGTGGAGCAGTCATCAGAAGGCAGCAGAGGGAACAAGCAAATGTTGGCCATGTAGGGGCCATAGTTAAGCAGCTTTGAGGCTAGGTTGGGGTCATGGGAACTCTGCATTTGTTGCCTTATCCACACACGGAGCACAGACCAAGGGAGTGGGCTCTAGAACTCTGCGCGATGCGATTCATGCTTCTGGTTCAATCGACTGTAGTCAACGGCCAACTGGTCTGCCTCTAAAGCGATTCCATGAATTGTGTGACCTCCTAAGTTTCCCAATCAGCTGCAAATCCCCTGTTTTCAAATGTAGGTGTAAGGTGGGTGGGTCCATGGCTTCCTTCAAAACAGAACAAAAACCTGCCAGTGGGTCCTGAGGGCTGTTTCCTCTTAGGAAAGATGGTGTTGGTCTCTCTCATGTCTGTATCACTACCAGATGCAGAGTCAGTTCCATTTTTGGTGCCCCTCATAAAATCGCTCTGCTCCCCAGCCATCCTAGCTACCACTGTGCCCCGGGGACACACCAAGTCTCGTCCCAGCTGCTTTCGGTCCCGTGCCTGCCGTGGGAAGCCTGGAAACCCTCAGGCAAGGCGGCCTTCCTGGGTCCTCCCATTTTACCCGTCAGGACTTCCCCCCTAACACAGACCTCATTTTCCTGGGCATGGCTGTCTCCATGCCAGCCTCCGCCACTCGAAAATGAATTCCTTGCAGCAGGGATCTTCTTTGTGTCCCCAGCGGCTAGCACATTGTGTTGAGTGTCCCTTCAGAATATTCAGGAGAATACCCCATACAACGATGGTGCCCACGACCCACCTCTAGAGTTTGGCTTCAAATGGCAGGTTCCCTTGGCAGTTTTAAAGGATCCTTGTGAGTTATCAGACAGTTGCATGTGTACGTTATGCCCACTGCTTGTCTGTGAATAAACTCTCCCCCCTAAAGTCAACACTAGCCTATTAAAAGAAGCAAAGATAACGTGCCTAACATCTACATACACACTGTTGCGACATTGCTACTTGTCGGAATAACATATTAGAGCTTATGACTTAACAATATAAAAACAGAGAGGAATTTTAGTGAGGTCTGGCTTAATTATTGCTCTTTAAAAAAAAACAACATAGTTTTAAAACAAACAGGAAAAAAAAGGCTGGTCAGTTTTTTTTCTCATGGCCAGATTTTAAAATGTTTCTCATCCAGAAATTCGGGGCACCCAATTATTGAATACCCTTATCATATTGCTTTAAATGACAGAGTAAACCTGGCATCCTCTACAGTATACTAAGCTATGAATACAAAGCATGAGAATAAATATGGTACTTTTCTAAATGTCAAATTACAAAACTGCTCAAAACTTTTCAATTGTGACTCATGCAAATACCAGGTTAGGTCGATTTAATATTACAAATACTGTATCAGGTCGGTGCCTCTATATCCCTTTTCATAAAAAAGAAATTCTCACTCCTGACGCTGGCAAATAGCTTTGGAGGAAATAACTGTACACCCTTGTCCCATGATCATTCTGGAATTTTAATGCTTGTACACACACTTTACCCAAACACACAAAGGCACGTGCACACGTGCGCGCACACACACACACACACACACACACCCCATCTTTAGGATCTGTAGCTGATTCCAAGCCTGCGCTTAAATTTCTATTCTGTATTTTTCTCTTTATCATCCTGAAAAACGCTGGTTGCTCAGCAAAAATAATCTCTCTTATGCCTTATTTTCCTACTTTCTCCCTCCCTGTTTCTCTGTCTACCTTCATGACCTTTTATGATTCCCTTCTGATCGATCCAAAATAATCTATCATTCTTCCTACCAAGGTCCACTTTATAATATAAAACATAAACACCTTTTTATTTCCCGTCCTCTGCCTCTTAAGGCAGAGTTTGCCCTTTTTCAATTATTGCCATTCTAAAAATACCCCTACCATCTTGAGCCAAGCTGTTGAATGTGTACAGATTTTACACATGGATATACTCCCCCCATCCCATCATAAAAATAGTTGTTGCCCACTAAATATAGTTTTCATATGAAGAAACATAATTGTGAAAATGTGTTCTCATAAACAGCAAATTAGTCAATACTATAAGCAGATGAGATCCTAAAGCTAAGACAATCCATTTGGTTTGGCTTTCTCCCTCTTTCTCAACCCCTTCCTGTAGAATAGATTGTGTTTGCAACATGAAGAAACATTGTCTTAAAAATGTGGATTTTATGTATTGCCATCATCAATTGCTCCCCATTAAAAACAATTAAATGTAAGAGAAATGGAATCCTAATTGCCTCTTCCGGGCAAATATAGAGAAACTTGCATTTCACTTTATGGCTGCTGGAGTAAACAAAGTTATCCCAACACCTCGGATGCCACGAGTGAAGGTGGGAAGCTGGTGCAGGGAGCATCCTACGCCCTGTAGACTGCACCAGTGTGGGTTCTACTGCTCTAAATGGCCCTGTTACCAATGTTTGTCCTCATCACCCAGCGAGGCTGGTCTCAGTTCTGCCTGTAGCAACCATGTTGATTTGCTTGTCCTTTTGGATCAAAGGACTGGTCCACATCCAGGTGATCCTTTGAGTCTCAAAAAAAAAAAAAAAAAAAAAAATCTTTTCTCTTTTGACTCCTGGGTGTTTTATAGAGTTTGATGGGTGGGTTCTTTTTACTTGATTTTTCATCGTTGGTCATTGCAGCTTCTGGTCTACGTAAGGATTGCGGAGTTTGTTCGCACTTTAATAAATATTCCATTAAAATGCTTCAGTGTGTGGATTTCTTGGTTCCTTGGTAACCCAAGCACCAAAGAAGCTTCCTGGGTGGAAGGAAGTTTGTTATTCATTGTCTTCTTCCTCCTGGTTGGCATAGATCCCTGCCTCCCAGCGCAAGGCCAGGGCGCTCTTTCTTCGATTAACCCGTGTGGCCTGAAGGACCTAAAAAGAAGGAAAAAAAATGAATCGGAGTTCATGGATGTTCACCACGTAAACCAACGAGCTTTTCCGGTTTTTTGTTTTGTTTTCTTTCGTTTCTGTCCTTTCCCTCTCAACAGCATCCAAGAAAGGGAAAGTAATAGTGTCTGGTATGGCCGGGAGGTAGAAGAGACGTGGCAAATAAAGTAGGGTGGGAGGTTCTGGATATGCATTCATTTCATAGCCAAATTTCATTTGCTCTTTGACCCACAGTTTTCAGTATAGAAAGATTTAATTTCCCTGACGTGTTCTCCACGTCTTTTTTTCTTCTTCCATTTTCATTGAAATTCTAGTGACTTAACATATAGTGTCATGCTGGTTTCAGGAGCAGAATTTAGTGACTCATCACTTTATATATATAACACCCAGTGCTCATCACAGGTTTGCGCATGTTTTTGAACTAGACTTGACTCTGCATTAAGTGTTTTGATAACACAGTAGGTCTCTACATGTTATCCGATCAGTGCCGTCTGATGGAAATGTTCTGTATCCGTGTCAGTAATATGGTAGCCACTAAGCTGCACGGCTATGGAGCACCTGGAATAAGGCTAGTGTGGCTGAGAAACTGAATATTTGATTTTCATTAATTTTAATATCCTCATGGACCTTGTGACTACCATATCGGACAGCACAGGTATCAGTTGTCTTAGTCTCTTTGCAAGCAAGCAAACCGGAAAATAATCCCAAACAACTGGACCAGTGTGAATTCAACCCATCAAGCTTTGTGGACATACATAAGCTATGATCATATTTATATCATAAAAGTCTACTTTGGTAAGACTAAACTTCCAAGAGAAACTAGGTGGAAAGAAAAACAGCTTCCCAGGCCAATAAAAAGCAATCTGAGCATGAGGATGCAACATCAGGGCACAGGTGCTAATAAATGAAATGCAAGGTGACAAAATCCAGGACAGGTAGGCTCACCACTGTTGGGGTAAGGCCTCCCTCCCTCCAGTTCACTAGAATAGTCTGTGGACTCCAGAGGGAAAACCTCAACCAGGCTGCTCCAGCTTTGGTTTGACTGAGATGAGATCCAGATGGATGACATTCAGGTTGCCAACATATGAGAAATGGCTCAATTTCATGACACGGCACCACAAGCAAGCCCATGCATGCCAATCAATTAAATTACGGTGGCATTAGCTTAGGATGTGCAGGTTCTGATATTAAAGAAAAGTCTAGCAGAGCCAACACTGGTTGACGACCCAAACTGCAGTGAAGGCTTTGCTTATTCTAAGAACCATCATTTTGGCAAGGGACGGAGATGCGGGCAACTCCAGAGAAGCAAGGAGGTGCAGGTTGCAGGCAGTATTGGGAACCAAGGCATAAGCAAGTTCTGGGTAGATTCACGGTCTGGGGCTCCATCTCAACCTGCTTCTTTGGACCTCTGACAAATGGATGGACTTCCCAGACCTCCCATGTGCTTTCCTCTGGGAAGCCTTCCCCAGTCCCCCCAGCTGGGACAGCTGGACCTAACATGTAGGATGCACTCAGCCATGTCTCCTAAATGAATGTTCATCGTTAAGCACATAAGCCATATCATAGTGTCTTGTGTGTAAGCATACCATGGTCACTTATTCAATATTTAAGAATAAGAGACCAGTAGGGGCAAAGAATGCTACTAAGTCTGGTATAGTTAAGTAGAGGATTCGTCTAGAAGGTCAGTGCGTGGTAACACGGTACTGAGACAGGGTACTGGACTAGATCTGGAAGTCCTGACTTTCTTTCCAGTTCCGTCTGGAACATGGTGTTGTCCGTGGCATCTCGTGTCTCAGCTTTCTTCATCTGCAAGACGGAGACAGCACCTGCCTTGGGTTGAAGGCTTTCTCCGGAGACAGCGCCGACTCTGAAGTCCAGGCAAGTCTAGATTTAAATCCTAGTGACTGTGTGACCTTAGAAAAGTCACTTACCCTGGGGCCTCAGTTCTCTTAGATGTGAAATGGGAATCATAAAAGCTATAGTACAGAGCTGGCGCAGGGAATAAATGAGACAAAGTCCATACAGCATAGTTCCCAGTGCTCTGCGAGTTTTCAAGCAATAATTATTTCTATCATTATTTGAAGGGGCTTTGTAAACAATGAAGTGTTCAGACGTAAGGCATTTTTATAAGGAGCACTACATCGTGTTGTCTCTGGGTAATACAAGGCTTCTGGTCTAGGACTGGCTCAGGGGTGAACACATCCTACAATGGCTTTTTGAAGATTCAAAGGCTAAGCTCTTGGAGAAGGTATCTAAATGAGCATTTATTCCATAATTAATTCAGAGTACAGTATTGTGTGTGTCTATAAATCTCAAGCAAATCTAGAGCTCTGATACTTTAGTTTCTGCATATTAACTTTATTTCCTAAAGTTCACTCCTTTCTTTTTGGGGCAAAAAAAGCACTTGCCTCCGGAGCTGTAGTAATAGTAAACACATCACACATACTGTGAACCACTTACTGTTTTGATCCTCAAGACTGTTCTACGGGATACATACTATTATTACTCGCATTTCCCATAGGAAGAAACTGAAGCACGGGGAAGTTAAGTTGACCAATGTTACTCAGCTGGGGGAAGAGCTGAGGTTCGCACCCAGAATTCTGGGTGTGGAGCTGATGCCCTAGGCCACCATGCTACATTGTGGCTCAGTGCCCATCAGGAGTCTGTTGGGAGAAGCAACAGAAAGAGCAGTAATACTCTCTATAGGAATGGAGAGGGGAAAACATAAAAAAAAAAAAAAATTAAAAATAATAATAGAAAAATCTGATTTAGATGGTTTTATCATTTTCACAAATTCAGATTTAGGTCTGGTGAGAGGGAAAAAAATCAATTCTCTTTGAGCAACCCTCTAATATTAATTTTCTCTCTCTCAAGCTGGGGGAATTCAAGCAAATCGCTCATCTCTGTGTAGAAATCAACAGACAATTGTATTTGGAGTATGGGTAACAAAAGGCAGAGGGGTTAAGTAATGTCAGTCACTCCATTTACATTAATATTTTGTCTTCCTAAGTCCTCTTCAATTGAAGATAGACTGGGCCCAGTTTTATTTTCCTTGAACATATTTGACCAGATTTTCATTATTCTTAATTATGTTAACTCAAAGGGGATGGGGCCTAGGGCCTAATTCTTCCACTGCCATTGCCTAGAGGAGAACAACAATTAGCCACTGAGGAGGGTACATGGGATGATATATCTTTTATATTTCATTACTCATTTTATATCTTATGAAAGAATACTCGTATCTTTTGAAAGAAAATTACTGATAATCATCAGCTCCCATCTCTGGTACTAATTACTTTGCAAGATAGGGAGATTTTAAAAATACATTGTGCTGTAAGTTAGCACAACCATTCTGAAGAATAATCTGCAATATGTAATGAATGCGAGGATGTAAAATCCCTCTAACCAGTACTTCCCCTCCTAGATATATAGAGAGAAATTCTTCCAGAGCTTACACAAAGAGAAACGCGCGTAACATTCACTGAAACATTGTTTGTAATTGCAAAAAATAAGGAAAGAAAGAGAGAAACAACCAACATTTCCATCAATAGGAGGATGAATAAACAGTGATATATTCATTCAGTGGGATACGACACAACAGTTATAATGAATGAGCTGGAGTCTTAACAACTTGGAGGCATCTAAAAACAATGTAGACAGAATAAAGTAAGGAGCAGAGGATGTTACAATGTGATATCGTTTCTAGAAAGTTTTAAGGCATGCAAAACCAAGATGTTATCCATGTAGACAAACATATGAAATATAAAGACATGCATAGAGATGATTAACAGCAAACCTAAGAAAAGTTACCCCCAGGAGAGAGAGAAATGGGGATTGGGGAGAAGTAACAAGGGGGCTTGAACGGTATTTGCAAGATTAATATTCTTGATATTATTAATATGTTATTAATATTAATAATTTAAAAATATTAAGCAAATATGAAATGATAAGAATGGTCAAAGCTGGATGGGTGGGCTTTATTGTTTTATTATCTCTTATTATTGGAACATCTGAATGCCAACTCCATGACATCGAGGACTTTGTTTTGTCGACTGCTCTATTTCTGGAACCTCAAAGAGTGTCTGGCATGTACCAGGTCCTCAATAAATTGTTAACTGAGAGAATGAATGAATGATTCTCCCTACAGTTCTGTACATTTGAAATAATTCTTTTAAAAATAATAAAATTCTAAAGAAAAAATACAAAAACATTGTTTACCCATAGCAAAAAAAAAAAAGGAAAAACATTTAAAAATTAGGGGAAAATGAAAAATACTGTGACTTTTCATAGCATAGATAATTGTGAAATCTGTGTAAAAGGAAATTGTAGAAGAAAGGAGGAGACTTGGAAATTCAATGCTTAAATTAAGGAGCTTCCGAAAACAAACAAACAAAAACCAGGTTTAAAGATGGGAGCGGAGAGGGGAGTGGGCAGTGGGATGGTTCACTTTTGGAACAACTTATCCTGAAGATTCTGAGGCTATGGAGTGGAGCTATCTGGATTTATGTTATGGGAAACAAAGAACTGGATCAACAGCTCAGGCCTCTTGAGTTGCACTGTTTTCTAACCAGACCAGAGTTATCTTTGCTATCAGTGCCTGAAGAAACTAAAGTCCGTGCCCTTGAATGCAAACACCTTCCAGATCCATGAGCAGGGCAAGGTCTTCTCCAGCCCCACCACACAGCACAGCAAAGCACAGCAGCGGGGAGCCCTGTCGCATGTACCCCAACATTTCCAGGCAGTCCCCAGTTCCGAAAAGGCTGGAAGAAAGAAACACAGAGACGAGCTGCTTCCGTGCCCGTCTCCTCGAACACATCGGGAAATGGCAAACCACAAGAGCATGCACCTGGGTCAGGCATGCAGGAACACCAAGACAAACAAGTGGAAAAGTACCTCGGAAGTCACCTTGCAAGACAGTAACTTAGAGGTGTACTGGCAGAGAGGGAAAAGAGCAGGTTAGTACAGAGCACAGACACACTCACACA